CTCAAGTAAAGTACAGATACCCAAAAATTCTACTTAAGCACAGTAAAAAAGTATTTGTACTTAGTTATTTTCAAGTCTGTTAAGTTGTAAATAAAACATTTATTTGCCGTTACAAACCCCTCTCTCAAACTGGGATGGAGCGGTCTGGAAGTTGGAGGAGTTGAGGTGTGAAGGGCCACGTTTGGATTTAAAGAAACAGCCTCAAAATGAGCTGAAATGAGACAGTTCAGTAAAGGGGTGAAAGAGGGGCTTGTCTCCAAAGGACAAATTGTCACAGTCTGTCTTTTCTGCCTTCGTTTTCTAGTGTTTCTGTGTTCCCCTGTGTATCTCCCCTGCTGTCATTCCTCCAGCCCCGCCCAAGCTCACCTGTTTCCTCTTGTGTCTCCTCCAGGTGTTTCAGTTTCTTGTTGTCTGATTTAATTCTCCCTTTACATTCTGTGTCCTCTCTTCAGTGTTTGTCCGTTCATTGTGCTGTTTTCAGCTCGTGTGGTGTTCTCCTCCGTGTTCTTGTTCTCCTAAGATCAGCTTGTAAGTTTTTTGAGCTTCCTTGCCAGCCTTTTTGTTTGTTTAAATAAATCTTTTGTCACTTTCTGGATTTTTTGCCTGCGCCCTGGGTCATTCTGCCTGCAACCTCACACAAATGCTTCCATCTTTTGCCCCGATTTGAGGGACAGGTCCGATGTATCCTTCATGTCCCATAATGCATTGCGGGCAGATCAGAGATTTTTTTTCTGCTGGTAATGGCGGACAAAGCGAGAGAAAAGAGAACAGACAGAAAAAATTTTTGGCGGTATAAAAATTAAAGTTTCAAGCGGCTGTGTTGTTAATGCTTTTGCCATTTGTATTTGCATATTTTTAAATATTGATCTTGTCTGAAATAAAACGCGCTGTTATAGCGAAACAAATGTGCAGTTCTTTAAATATTGCCTTCAAGCTAATGTTGTTTTGCGATATTTAAAATACTAATATATTGGTATTTTTTTAATTTCAATCTAATTCTGTTTCTGTTTACACCATCCACTTTTTCCACTCTACCAAAGACCCGGCCCACATAGACCGGGTAGGTCAGGTCCTTCGGAGGACCCAACCTCTGAATTTGGACATAGCCAAATGTCCAAATGTGTTTTCTGAGGTTCATTAACTATGGCAGCCATTTTTACTTGTGTGATTCAGGTCGACTCCTGAAGATAATCAGTTGTAGAAGGACACTGCAAAACAGACAAACTCATTAACACCAACTGAGAACTGTATTATTGCTGACTTTACATGGTTGTGGGTGACAATAAAGCTTTCAAACATACAATAAGCCAATAAAGACTGAAAATAAGAGCATAGAAACACATTATCACACTCTTCCACATTAAAGTGTCTTCTCCACTCCTGGCAGTGTGCTCCATTAGCCCAAGGCTGCAAGACTCTTCGGCCTCAAATCAGACCCATCCTGTGGATTCAAAAGAGACTGAAGAGGGCCAGGTTTCTCCCCAGCAGCAATCACCCGCAGAGAGAGTTCTGAAGAAACAACTCAGCTTTGTTTTGGAGAATGAGAAACAGCAATGAAGACAAAGCATGGTGTGAATCAGTGCTTTTATTTGAGCCATAGATTTTTCAGACAAAAAGCTCTGTAACCTGGATGAAGTGGTTGTGTCATCTTGAGTGTTTGCTGTTATACAATAAAGCTTTCTGAATAGGCTTGTGGGAAGTGTAAGGGTCATTTACATCTTCAGTCTAATTMATTTTCAAAGTGGTGATCCAAGGGTAAAATACCTTGCAGTCATAAAAACTCCTACCCACTGCAGGCTTTTAGGTTTGGAGAGGGTTCCCGCACAGTCAGTTTAACCCCTCCCCACCAACACCCTCGACTGGAGCAAGGTGTTGGGGGGGGGGGGGGGGGGTTAGACTTCCTGAACCTAATTAAACAGTTGCTTCTGGGAACTTTAAATTATTTAGTACAAACAATACAAAGCAATACAACTACAAAAACTGCATCTCTGTTTGGATATATCATTTAAGTCTCTAGCGAGATTCTCAACATGGGAAATTCTCCCCACCACCTTTAAAGGGTGTAAAGTATGTGTTTCTCAGGCATACAATTAAATACTATACCATAATAAAGTATCTTTGTCACCTTTAGCTGTTACTAAAATGCTGTTTTTATGTTTAAATGGAAAATAAACTTATTGTTGTGGAATACTTATATCTGTATCACCTTGACACTGACCACTTGTTCCTGTTCCTGAAGATATGAACAC